GACGGAGTTTCACTCTCGTCACGCAGGCTGGAGTGCAATGGCGCGACCTCGGTTCACTGCAACCTCTGCCTCCCGGGTTCAAGTGATTCTCATTTTTGTATTTTTAGTAGAGACCGGGTTTTACCACGTTGGCCAGGCTGGTCTCAAATGTCTGACCTCAGGTGATCCACCTGCCTTGGCCTCCCAAAGTGCTGGGATTACAGGCTTGAGCCGCTGCACCCAGCCTCGTGCGAATCTTAAATGGAATAGGGTAGGTAAAATGATCAGCACACAGGTGGCCCTCCCTTTGAGTTCAGGCCCCGCCTTACCCATCTTCACATCCTCCATCATATTTGCTCATAGTAGGGCCTCATGTTAATTGTTTTTTTTTTAACTAACAAAATGTTTTATTTCCTATGGTGTATTTTTTTACATGCCCCTGACTTTGCCCTAAACCCTCTCCCTGACACTGGACTTGATGCTTCAGATTGGTCATGATTAACATTTTATGCACCCCCTATAAAACTTGACACTCGTGCTCAAACCTTATTTTAATTAATGGCCAGAGAGTGGCAAAATTAAATATGAGGTGACCTACCTCACTGCTCCACTGCATCTCCTGCCCCTGGAATTTTAAGGGGGCTTTGTTAAAAGTGAGGGTACAAAGGAAGCACAAACAGGCAAAGAAGAGGAGAAAGGAGCCGCAGAGACAGATAAAAACCAGGAAATTACGGACCAATTCCCAACGCTGTCTCCAAATCCCTGGTGTCTTTGAATAGCCTGCATGATATTAAACATTTTTAAGAAGTTACAATCTATGACAACAAAAAACGGTAGTAAATATTAACAGAAACTGACATCATAGACATTTTTAAGGGATCATCCACTAAAGAAATACATTATTTGGGTTAATTCCTTCCTGTATGATCGATGGGAACGAAGAGATAGCCAAGTGACGTGTGGCTCTTCCAGTCAATAGCACACCCCAAAACTCTTCTCCTAAATTATTTGGTCAAGGATATTTACAGGGCACCCATGTGGGGAGTACGCTGTCTCAAGTCCTCTCGGGATGACAGAGACCAAGGGAGGGTACCACACCTCTGAGATATAGTGATGGGAGGTGATGCAACTTTTGATGTGACCAGAGCAGTGACATCCACGGACCAGACAGCACAGAGGCCCGTGTGGCAAGGGGCTGCAGAGGGCTCAAAGGGAAGAACACAGACTCTCACCAGTGACCCATGGAAAGAAACCCAGTGGCAAGCTCCAGCAAGGCTCCAGGTCCTCGAGGGGCTGAGAGCACAGCTGCGTGGCAAGTGGAGAAGCACCTGTGGCACTCCAGGTGGCTCCAGCCAGAACTCCAGGCCTCTCCATCGCCAATCAAAATAAACAGTGAAGCAATCAATGTGAGCCCTCGAGTCCCATCAGTAGAGCACCACGCTAAGGTCTTGCCGGCAGCAGAGTCTGGGAAGGGGAAGGGCCACAGTGGCAAGAGGAAAGCAAAAGAAAGAGAAGAAAGGGCTTCTGTTCTCGTGGAATTATTATTGAATTTGGAGAAAACAGCACAATAAAAACAGCTGTCAGTAATTTAATACAGGACATTTTCCTATATTGTGGCATTTGATCTTTGTAGACTCCTGTAACCCTGAGGTATAGATATTACTAAGCCATTAACCATTTCATCCAAGATTATAGAAGTAGTCAGAGAAGAAACCAGGGCAGTTAGGTCAGTCTGACTCCAGAGTTGGTTTTCCCAGCGATCATACTCTTCCAATTCTCTATCTGAAACAACCTCACACACACACGCATGCACAAAGAAGAGAATGTTATAATTCAGGCGTGTGGAAGGTCAGTCTTAACCATTACCCAAACCCCAGAGGCTATAAAAGAAAAAAACTGATAAATCTGATTTCATGAAAATAAAAATTTTCTGCATGGGGAAAAAAACACCATCAACAAATGACCAACCAGGGACCTATTTGGAACATACAAAGGTCACAGACAAAGGATATATTTCTTTAATACATAGGAAATGCCTATAAATCAATATGAAAAGAGCCAACAAAGACTAAATCAGCTAATAGAAAAAGAAAATCAAAATAGTTCATAAACACATTAAAAGATGTGTAACAACTCATAATACGAAAAAAGCTGGTTAAAAATACTAGAAGGGTGAACATCAAAACATTTTATTATATAGGCAAGGGTGAGGCTAAGAGAGAAGAGGCACTCTCATAAATTACTAATGAGAAAATAAACGGATACATCCGCTATGAAGGACAATCTGGCACTATCTATCAAAATTATAAATGTACCTGCCCTTTGACCCCAAATTCCAATTCCAGGATTTTATCCTGCAGATCAGCTCATATGTGTGCAAAATGATATCTGCAGGAAGCTAATCTCTGCAGCATTGTATGTACTAGAAAATGTTTGAGAACAACCTAAATATCCAAAAAGGAGACTGATGAAATAAACTATGGTATACTCCTACAATGGGCTATTATGTAGACACAGAAGAGAAGAGGAAGCGCTTAATATATTGATATGGAACAAGCCCCAAGGTATACTGTTAATCAAACAAAGCAAATTAAAAATGGCAAGGAGAGGCTGGGCGCAGTGGCTCATGCCTGTAATCCCAGCACTTTGGGAGGCTGAGGCAGGCCAATCACCCAAGCTCAGGAGTTCAAGACCAGCCTAATCAACATGGAGAATCCCCATCTCTACCAAAAATACAAAATTAGCCAGGCAGGGTGGCGCACACCTGTAATCCCAGCTACCCGGGAGGCTAAGGCAGAACTGCTTGAACCTGGGAGGCAGAAATTGCAGTGAGCCGAGATCGTGCCATTGCACTCCAGCCTGGGCAACAAGAGTGAAACTCCATCTCAAAAATTAAAAAATGGCAAGCAGAATAGGCTACCACAAATACAAAAGCAAAATCACATAGTGTCTACGTATATATTTGTATGTACCCCTGGAAAGATACCCAAGACATGGGTGACAGGAGCTGCTTTTGGGGAGAAGTGGAAGGTAAAGTGAGGGGGGAGGCTCCTGTCACTATACATTTTGTATTTTCTGAATTTTATAATATGTGCTTCTATTGCCTATTCAAAAACTAAATTATATGTATAATTTGTTATATATTAAATATACAAATGACAAATCCGAAACCAATTTGGAACATAAATTTCTCTCTCTCTCTCTCTCTCTCTCTCTTTCTCTCTCTCTCTCTCACACACACACACACACACACACACACACACACACACAAATATATTTACACCACATGCAAATCAAAATCAAGAGCCACACCAAGGCAGAAGTAGCTTCTGGCCCACAAGGCTGTGTGACCTTGGGCAAGTTGCTTCACCACTCAAGCAAGGTCTCAGCTTCCTCATCCATAAAATGGGGACTGGAATACCCCCTTCCTCCTAAAGTTTGGAGAAGTACAGGAATGAATATATGTAAAGCCCTTAGTAGATCAGTGCTTGGCACACAGTCAATTTATGCAAGTGTTTGTTAAATAAGTCTGCTCAGGTGGTCAAGGAAGACATCTCTGAAAAGTGCCCTCAAAGTCAGATTAGAAAGTTCAGTAGCAGTTGGGCAAGGAAGAGGGAAGCAGAGGAAACAGAGGGTCCTCCTCAGGTGGAATGTCTCATGCAAAGGTCAGGAGATAGGGAGATGCCCTCGTGCACTGAGGGAAGCCTGGGTGGCTGGCATGGTGGCTGGCATGGAGCCTGGGAAGGTAGGGGACATCGAGATGCAAGGCTAAGGAACTAAGAGCATGGATTGGTCAGGAAGTTTCTCTGTGGGTGCTGGGAAACCCATGGAACATTTACACAGGGGCATTCCATGCTTGGATGGGTTTTCCTAGAAAAATTTCTCTGGCAGGAGTCAGGAGGACAGGTTGGAGAGGGGCAAAAACTAGGTGGCAGAGAGGCCGGCTGCAGATCATTGCAGCAACTCAAGGAGGAAATGGTGAGGCTGGAACTAAGGCAGTGGCCACTGGCAAGTGCCAGAGGATGCAGTGGGGAAGACACAGAGGAGGTACAGGCAGCTGGGCTGGCTGACCTAGATAGTGGCTGGAGTGGGACGGAAGACAGAAGTGAGGATAATTACAAGAGCTCTGACCTCGTCCATTTGGAGGACAGCGATGCAACTCACTAAGAAGCTGAAGCAAAGGAACTGGCGGGGGGAGTGGGTAAGATGATGGGTTAAGTCCCGAATTTGTTGAGGTTCAATATGATCACATCTCATAGGTGATCTGTAGTTAGCTATAGGTGTCTAAATTTCAGATGAAGGAGCTGCGGTAGACATATGGCCTTGAGAGGTATGGGATAAGGTTTTAATACTGAAAGTTCTGGACTGTGGTTAAGGGAGCTGCCACCACTGGTCCCTCTGGTCCACACAGGAGCCTTTGGAGAAGGTATGTTACCTGTAGTGCAGTTAAATCCCTGCTCCCTTTCTCCTTCCCTCTCTCCTTTTCCTCTCTCCCTTTTCCTTCCTTTTCTTTTTCTCTTTCTTCTCTCTTTCTTCCTTCCTAAAAGCATAATAAAAGTCTTTACAAGAGGTTTCCTTACACACCTCGCGTGAAGTAAATCATTGTTGAGAAATGCTGAGTGTATGATAAAATACATTGTTTGCTAAGAAGAACGATGGCAAGGAAAACCTAGCTGCCCGCCCTCCAAGTGGAAAACTACTTGGGGCATTCTAAAGTGGCAAGACAGTAGATGTATANCACACCGGTTAAAAAAATTATTTAAGCCTGGAATATGTGACCCTGCCCCCATGGCTCCCTCGTGGAGAATAGTTTTTAGTCTGTCTGTGATCAATGGTAAGCAGGCACCAGCTGCCTACCTGGTTTATCTTGGTTTTATGAGAAAACACAGAACACCTGTTTGTTAATAATAATCACCTGTTCAGAGAGAATAACTACGTGGGTCAGAATCTGCTTGAGGCCCTCAGCCTGGAATGCTGTCAGCCCCTGAGGCTCTCAGCTCGGAAGGCTGTTGGCCACCGGATAGTCCCACTTTGCTGTTCTATCTGGGTGTCTGCTTCTTAATGCTTTCAGCGCCGCCTGGGTAGGGGTCTCTGCAGCTGAGCTGGTCGTGGTAATCCATCTCTGATCAGTCCCAGATAATCAGCAGTGATGCCTTTACTTTCTCCAACATTCCTGCCTTCTGTTTGCATCCCTTCTCATGCATGGCAGAAGCCACTAGAAAGTTGTCACTGTTGTGAATGTGCATCTGCACACCGCTGTGACCAGCCTGAAGACCTTATTTTTCCAATAGGGGAGTAATTTACAGGCTACCAGTGAAAAAGATAGTGAGGGAACACCATGTGTGTGCCTCATGGGTGCTGTCTAGATGTTTCTTAGAAAGAACATTCTGTGGTTTTCTCTTCTGCTGAGTGTCTTTAGCAAAACCAACCCCCAGTTAAGGATGACCTACCACACGGTAGGATGACCCACCACTAAGAGACCTTAGAACTGATTTCTAAAAGGGCATACATTCTTCTACTACAAAAAAAAAAAGTGTTTAGGCAAGATTTCTGGAACAATTTAGCCAGGCGAGGTCTGGGGCCAAGATTAAAGGATGCCAGCTTTGTAACTCACTCATTCACTCGCTTGCTAAAATGTTCCTAACCTTCCCTCAGCTTCAGTTTTGTTCACCTATAAAATTGAGAGGAACTGCTGGACCATCTCCAAATCTCCTTCTGGCTCTAAAATTTTGTGAGTCTAGATCTGAGCAAGGGTTTACATTGGTTTCATGACAGTGTGAAATACTTTCACAATTCAGAATTGCTGTTGCATACTTAAGGCAGCTTCATTGTGGAGGTATGCTGATTTCACAACTGGGCAACAGAAATATTATTCACAAACTTTGTGGCAATGACAAATATGTTTATCCCAATGGGAAATCTCTATTACAATTCAGCAGATGGTCAGTTTTCAAATTTCATATTTGCCAAAGAAGTGTTCTTTTTATGGCCTGAAGAAAACATAGGTAGGGACTGACAGGGGATGGAAAACAGTACCCAAACCATGAAAGTAGTAAATATTACTTATTACTAATATCGGTCTTCTTGTTTTCTTTTTCCATTTTTTTTTTAAAGACAGAGTCTTTCTTTGTTGCCCAGGCTGGAGTGCAGTGGTGTGATCACAGCTCACTGCAGCCTCAAACTCCCTGCTCAAATGATCCTCCTGCATCAGCCTCCCAAGTAGCTACAACTATAGGTGCACACCACCATGCTCAGTCAATTTTTAAAGATTTTTTATAGAGATAGGGTCTTGCTACACTGCCCAGACTGGTCTAGACCTCCTGGGCTCAACTGATCCTCCCACCTCAGCCTCCCAAAGTGCTGAGATTATAGGTATGAGCCACCATGCTTGGCCCATTGGTCATTAGCTATGTAAAGTCTGGGCTTACAGTTTTAAAATATAAAATAGAAAGTTCAGTGTGCCAAGAAATGCACAATTTATTTTCCCACTTGCAGAGATTCATGAGACTTTTGTGGGACCCAGAAAAAAAAACTACAGACAACAAAACCTACCACAAATAACAGACCCCTCACTTTTCTCTGCTGAGGGACATGGGATCATCTAGATGAATTCAGTTGTATTATATTAAAGAAATAATCATTAAAATTCACCACAAGGGATCTTCATCTAAATCTCAACCCAAAATAAAATACCAAGGAGAAAATGGCCATTTTTATCTAAAAGAACTTTTTTTATTGGGTCAGTCATTCTGTGATTCCTCCATAATCTGTGTGCTTTTGGTAAAAAGGAACATACATCAGAGTTTAATTGACTTAAAATATTGTATCTTGAAAGCTATCATGTAATGTGCCCTTACAAATCAAAACCTGATTTGATTAGTTTGAAATGTATTATTTTGAAAAATGTCAGTGAAATCAGATTTCAGCAATATGTTTTTGGTAATCATATGAAGGAGAATGTTAGGTATCTCCCAACATTGGCAGTGTATTTACTGTTAATAACACATCGGTATAGAAATTAGCTATCTAATTTACTAGAAACTAGCTATAATTTCCTAGTGTTTTGAGGGGGTAGAGGGGAAAATGCACAAACAGGTTCCACCTTTGAAATTTATATGTATATATACACACATCTAACTACAAAATTTTATCTTTTTACTTAAAAGTGTTATACTCAACATCACTCAAAGTAAGTGAAAGGGCAAATTAAACCATAAGCTGAGATTATTATTTCACCTATTATTTTCACAAGTATGAAAAAACCTGATGAGGATTCATAGTGCTGGTAGAACTGTTAACTGTTAACTTCTATGGAGGACAATTTGACAAAATCAATTGAAATAATAAATGTACTCACTTTCAGTTTCAACAATTCCATTTCTAGGGTCTTTTTCCCAGAGATATACCACATAATGTGATACAGAGCGATTCACTACATCACTGCTGATCCCAGGAAAAACTAGAAATAGCCCAAATGTCTATCAGTGAGGAAGTAGTTAAGAAGTCATCATACTGTAATGTAATGTAGCCTTAACAAAGAAAGAAGAAACTCTTCACCTACTGATAGGCACTGCATTCCAAAATGTATTTAAATGGTATATGCGGAATAGCATATATGTTTGCCACCCTCTGCGCTAAAAGAGAGAAACTACATATACATATACATATGCATATACCCATCTATATACACATGTGTATACATAAATACAAATAAATACACACACCAGACCCTAACAACATAGATTCTGTGGAAGGGAAACCCTTTTCCCAGAATAGAAGTCTGGGGACAATAGGAGGAGGAAAGAAATCACTGCATACCCTTTGGGACCTTTTGAATTTTGAACCATGAGAATGTGTGAGTTATTCAGAAATAAGTTAACAAATGTGACTAATAAATTGTTCGCTGATAAGCAGTAAACACATATTCTTATGTATTACCATTTAATGAGTACTTGAAGGACTTTTCTTTTTGAGACAGAGTCTGGCTTTGTTGCCCAGGCAGGAGTGCAGTGGCGTGATCTCAGCTCACTGCGACTTCCGCCTCTTGGGGTTCAAGCAATTCTCATGCCTCAGCCTCCTGAGTAGCTGGAACTACAGGCATGTGGCCACCACACCTGGCTAATTTTTGAATTTTTTAGTAGAGATGGGGTTTCCCCATGCTGGCCAGAATAGTCTCAAACTCCTGGCCTCAAGTGACCTGCCCACCTTGGCCTCCCAAAGTGCTAAGATTACAAGCATGAGCCACCGTGCCTAGCCAAAGGACCATATTTTTAAAACACCAAAATAGGCCAAGGTTGCTTTTTTTTTTTTTTTTTTTTAAGCAAAAGAGCCATACATTTAAAGCCATGAAGAATAAAAATTAGGTGCCCTTCCTCTTTCTTAGTCTCTTGGAATTCTTATAAAATAATAAACCTAACAGTTTGGAGGAAAACCAATTAAAGGGACATAAATCATCATTAACCCCTTCTCCAGATGAATCACAAAGAAACGCGTGTTCTAATTAACACCGAGTAACATTGTGTAAAGAGCAGTTTGCAGTGGAAATGAACAGATGGCTAACAAGCAAAAGAGGTACTGGAGAGCAAGAAAGAAAACTTGATCTGATGCTGAAAACTTCAAGCAACTGAAAGAAATTATATCTCAATGAAAATAGCTCTAAAAGGATGGATGAACTCACCTATTCAACTTTAGTTTTTAGGTACATCCAGTTTTGCTGCTTTCAGTGTTCAGCACCCACTAGGCCAACACTACTCCAATCCCCATCCCACTTTTTATATTTGCAAACACACTCACATGCCAACCAACCAATTCTTCACAACAGAAAGATTTTCTATCCCTAGGCAATGAATGGCTCAGTTATTTCAAACCAAGCTAGCATTTCAGTTCAGCAAAAGGTTTTGGACATCATCTTGGAGTTTGATGTAACAAGAGCTGACCTGGAGGTTTATGCTTTAACAACCATCCCCTTTCTTTCCTTTGAGACAGAGATTTATGACAGGAGGCAGAGAAGGGGGCAGAGATCCCGGGGTTGATGAACCCCCGGTATGATCCACTATGCAGGTACGGAGAAGTTCCTCCTTCTGCTTCCCCCTTGCTCAAAGGCAAACTCAAGTCATGGGGAAGCATAGCGCCACTTCCTCTTGTTTTCAAGCTCATCCTGTTCTTAGGCTCTTCTTGGTGGAAACAAGAGTGCCACAAGCTATTGAGTCTCATTAGCTGCACCCTCGGCAAAGAACCAGTGACTGACTCCACATGCGGGGGACTTCAACCCAGCTGACAGATGCTATTTCTCTCCGTCCCCGCTGACCCAGGCTGGGGAGACAGCATATTTCAGACAGGATGCCCTCCCAAGAGCTGTGATGCAACCCTGGAAAAAATACCTGCTCAAGAGCCCAAGCCAGGATCTGGTTTCTGCCAATTCAGAGTGACAGGGACCAGCAGCTAAGACACTGGCCGTTCCAGGAGGTATGTTTAATTTATATTTATTTAACAATAGCACACTTAATGTTCTCATGTCTTTTATTGTTTAACCTACATGTGGTATTTTAAACTGTACATTCTATAGCAAATCACGGTTGGATAAAAAACATAAAACTTTGGGCAAATGTCGGAGACAATTCTTGCTTTCCATGTAAAAAAAACATTTTTTGTTTGATTTTTGAACTCCTAATAACCACTTAAAGAAAAAAGGGAGACAGTTGGCTAATCAGGTTATCATTAGCTGTATCAACAACATTTAAGGCTGAGAATTAAAAGTACAAATGATTTGTGCAATCTGAATCTTCAGACTTAGACTGACACTTTAACTCATGTGTTTAGGAAGGAATAGAGAGATACATTCATAAATACACACACAGCAGGCTGCTGTATATATTTTATACAAAACAGGCAGTTTCTACTAAATTACTTGAGGTATTAGGATTCAAACTCAATTCCATTCTCTATGAGACAGCAGACTCCTCTGGTCTGAGGATATTTTTAAATACAAAAACTAATTATCCTATCTCATTGCCTATAAATTCAATTTCTATTTCTGAGGCTGCTTCTGTTGTACAGAAGTCTGTCTCCTAGTAGTCCGTTCACATTATAGCTTGTTTACAGCCCAGTCTAAAACCACAGCAAAGACAAAGACTGGAAGAAAAAAAAAAGATTTTTAACCTTTTAGGAAGATTTGATAATGAAGCAGGATTTTCATAATGAGATATATATATACATATATATATATATATGTATATATATATAATCAAGTTCATTTTCTATGAAACAAGAGTTTTTAAGTGAAAAATTTTGTAGACACAATTTAGAAAGTATACAGTGGACTCATGAGTGGGGCTAACGCCAAGGTCGGAATGCTTTCTCTTGGTTAGATCTTCCAGCAAAACCAATCAACCAATACACATGGAAAATGCATATAAACTTTCCAGATCAGAGCTGGGGCTTTGCCTTGTGTTAGCCGATGAAGAACTCCCAAGGCCGCTCTGGATTGAATCTCAGCGCAGAGATATGCAATACGCCACCAACTCTCCTCCCTTCTACCGGCTCCTTTGAAAGAGAGTCCTTCACAAGCAGTTCAAGGAAAAAGCACATTAACAATGACAATTTACACTTACCAGCTGGGGTGGTGAAGGTTAAAGGCAAACCAAAGTAAACTGACAATGATAAAGAACTTAAAAGCCGATGCTTTAAAAAAAATACGCAAATCTGTCCTTCGATTGCTAGGTTGGCAGATTAGCTGTACAACCCTTGACAGTCTCTTGAACTCTTTAGACCTCATTTTTCGTATCTATAAAATGAGAGAGTTGAACCCAGGGACTTTGAGGTTCCTCCCAGTTCTAACCAGCCATGGTTTAGGATCAAAGGCTGTGGCTACACTCCTGACCAACCCCCCCTCACAAAGCCTCACACCTGACTCCTCCTTCCCAACGCTCTGACTACACTGCGTTGTCTGAACTTCGCAGGTGATAGTGGCAAATAAAGGTGGGTTAAGATCTTTTTGTTGCTTGGTCTTTACAAGCATCTCAGATCAAATTAATATTAAAGAGGGAAATAAGCAAATGAACTAAGACTACTGAGATGATATTCTTCACAAAGGAATAAAAACACATGTTCCTCAAAAAGGAGGGGAAAACCACGTTTGGAAACTCTCTGGACTTATTTCTTTTTCCAAGAAGGGACCTAGGGAGCCGTTTTTACATTCTACTTCCTCAATCCTCATTCTTGAGGCTTTAAATCTTCTTGTTTTCCATCTCCCTTGAGATTAGGAAGGAGGGAAAGATATTTTTTCTCTATCCTCTGAGTTGGCTAAATTTGGATGGCTCCTACATGCCTCTACAGTAGCTTCCTATACTAATTTCTGAGATTTGCTGGTAAACCTTAATTACGTTCATCTACCATGGGAGTCAAGTTTTTTTTTTTTTTTTTTTTTNTGTATGAGCTCTGCAACAGTGGCTGCTGGGGCTGATGAGCTGGTGCCAGCATCAAGAGGGCTCTGACTTCCCTTTTTTTTTTTTTTTGAGACAGAGTCTTGCTCTGTCACCCAGGCTGGAGTGCAGTGGCGCAATCGCGGCTCACTGCAACCTCTGCCTCCTGGGTTCAAGCGATTCTCCCTGCACCTCAGCCTCTTGAGTAGCTGGGATTACAGGTGCGCGCTGCCACGCCTAACCAATTTTTGTATTTTTAGTAGAGACCCCTAAACATCTTGGTGGCCAAAAGATGGGAAAGGACTTGGAATGGGTGTTTCCATTCTGGTGCTAAATATTACATAGCCTTGACCCTTTTCTTAAGCACATTTTGAGTGTCCCTTAATGTCACGAATAATGAGCTTCACTGTTGTCAAAAAAGAAAAAAAAGACTTGCTTAAGTAGTTTCATATGAAAATGGAGAGTAGTTTATTGTTTGTAATTTCCAGTTTAGAGTTTATCCAATTCTTTCTCTGCTGTCTGGAAGGCCAGGCATGGGAGATTCCAGTTACAGGAAAGGCTTCTGCCATAGCCAACCCTTGCAGGCCAAGTGAATCCTGGCACAGACCGCAGCAGATCCACTGGGGTGCCCACGGGGTAGAGGGAGTTACCTTAGGAAGGTCACCTGGAAAAATAACCCTAGTGTGAGACTAGGCTTTTTTTTTTTTTTTTTTTTTTTTTTTTGAGATGGAGTCTTGCTCTGTCACCCAGGCTGGAGTACAGTGGTATGATCTCAGCTCACTGCAACCTCCGCCTCCTGGGTTCAAGTGATTCTCCTGCCTCAGCCTCCCGAGTAGCTGGGACGACACCCAGCTAATTTTTTGTATTTTTAGTAGAGACAAGGTTTTACCATATTGTCCAGGCTGGTCTCAAACTCCTGACCTCGTGATCCACCCGCCTTGGCCTTCCAAAGTGCTGGGATTACAGGCGTGAGCCACCACGCCTGGCCATCTGAAGCTTAACTTCCAAACTTCTTCTAACCACTTAGCAAGAATCTGTTATTTATTGCAGGAAAGGGAGAAATGAGCTGAGAGTGTGTGTGCAGAGGGAAGGGAGGGATGGTGGAAACCTGCTTGAGGTCATAGCCAACACCTGTTCTTGTAAAGGGTTTAAGGCACAAAAGACACACAGGGTACTCCAACTCTACTCATTAGATGGCTGATCTAGGTGGCTCTGGGGCAGAAAGACAGATTTCTGGATGAGTCTAAGCCTGAGACAGAGAAGCCTGAGGTCAGACTGGTACCTCAGCAGCTCACTCTGGGGGCTGAGTCCTTGCTAAATGACACAGAAACCTCAGCCTCCCCTTCATTCTTTTTATGGATGGCAGATCCTTTTAAAGCCTAGGTTAAATCACTTTGCTTCCCTGCTCCAAACTGTCCGCTGGCTTCTCACTACATGCAAACAAAACCCAAAACCCTTTTTTTTCTTTTTTTTTTTTTTTTAAAGACAGGGTTTCACCATGTTGGTCAGGCTGGTCTTGAACTCCCGACCTCAGGTGATCCGCCCGCCTTGGCCTCCAAAGTGCTTGGATTACAGGCATGAGCCACTACGCCAGGCCCCTAAACCCTTGAAAAGGTATCCCGGAAATCCATGGAGGCTGTTCTGGTAGTCACAGGACAATTGGGAGTCATCACTGGCATTAAGGTGGTGAGGCCCAGTCAGGCTGGATACCCTGCAGTACACGTGATGGTCTAGCACACGCCACACATGTTCTATGTCCCCCAGGACCTTCCAGCCTCGCCCAGAAGGGATGAAAAGCCTACGCCATTTTACCTGTCAACACAAGGGTTTCCTCCATGATTTTCATAAATGCTGGATTTCAATCGGGAATGATGTACTTTGTTTTGTTTAGAACTTTACTAACACGTATTTGCCATTTCAGAAATATCACATCACTAAAGTCAACACCGATTATGTCATTTGAGTGGCCAATATAACACATCTGCAGCCGTCTGGATTTATAGCTGCCACATTTGCAGTGATCCAACAAGGGGGTGCAAAACATATGACCACACTATTATGTCTTCCAGGGTAGTCATGAAATGCTTCTTAGTTCATGATACACTGCGCCCCTCTTGTACTTCCTTTACATTACAGTTAAGGCATCGTACGGATGGTCTCTCATGATGTGGGTAGATCGGCTATATTTTCTACAAATGTCACCGCAGAAGAGTGAAAGGGGCATTACTGAAGATCCATTACAAAAAGTGACGCTTGGGTCTGTCCAGGGCTGCTTTCCCCCATCTCATTCCCCGCCACTTGCCCTCCCTCCCTCTGCGACACCTCTTTCTCCTCTGTCAGCAATTCTCAGCCTTTGTCCTAGGCCCTCTACCTGCCTGCTGTCTGGAAAGCTGTTCTCTCAGAAATCCACAGAGCTCCTTCATCACTTCCCTTCCTCTGTCCCTGACTCTCCCTTTTCTTCCTATAGAGTTTATCATGGCCAACATTACATTTTCTACTTAATCATTTCTCAACTTTCTCTAGTACCAGAATTAAGCGCTGTGAGAGTGAGGATTTTGTCTATCTTGTTCCCCAGCACCAAGAACAGTGCTGGAGACAGAAAAGGCACTTCTCGGCCGGGTGTGGTGGTCCACGCCTGCAATCCCAATGCTTTGGGAGACCAAGGAGGGAAAATCACTCGAGGTTAGGAGTTTGAGAACAGCCTTTTATTTGTTTATTTATTTTTGAGACAGACACTCTCTGTGTCACCCAGACTGGAGTGCAGTGGCGCAACCTCTGCCTCCCAGGCTCAAGCCACTCTCTGCCGCAGCCTCCTGCGTAGCTGGGACTACCGGTGCCCACCACCATGCCCGGCTATTTTTTTTTTTTCAGTAGAGACAGGGTTTCACCATCTTGGCCAGGCTGGTCTTGAACTCCTGACCTCATGATCCACCTGCCTCATGGTGGGAGGATTACAGGCATGAGCCACTGTGCCAAGCCCTAAAAAATATTTTTTAAGTGAGCCAGCACAGGGTATCATGACTGCAATCCCACTGCTTTGGGGGGCTGAGGCAGGAGGACTGCTTGCCTGGGTCACAGAGGGAGACCATGTCCTTTTTTTTTTTTTTTTAAGGCATTTATTAACCTTAGTAGATGAATAAAGGAAGAAACACACATACAAAAGTCTGGTCCCACCAATGGGCTTAGCTTCCCCAGGCACCAGGAAATTTTCTTCTCCCGCCCCTATAACCACTGTTGCAAAATGGCTTTTTCTTCCACTGACCATGCTTCTCATGCCCACCCTTTGCCAGGTAAAGAGCAGTAAAAGGGAAAAGCGCCAATGAAAAGAAGGGGGAAATCCTTTTTAAAAATAACTATATTTTTAGGACAGGCGCTGTGTGAGATATAGTTTAATGTGGGGACACACCCTGGTCCTCAGTGGCCCCTACCCATCCTCTCCACTCACTGTATAGAAACACATTATGGAGGCCAATATTTTATTCTAAAAGCCAGTGTCTCTCAAACAAAACAAAACAAAACAAAACAAAACAAAACAAAAACCACCCAATTTCTATAACTCCACACCTAACAAATAACACTCAAAAACAAAAGCAGCTATTTTAAGATCACTAAATACTAGCTGGAGATGGCAAAACTGTGCCTTTCCTTATTCTTTTCTTCATTTTTGCTTTTTATTGGGCCACTGCCCCTCCTACTTCCTTAAAATGAATTTTACTCAGAAATTATCAGGAAGAAATACTATTCAAATCAAAATCTCAGCAGCTATTTTTGTAGATCTTGATAAACTTACTCTAAAAGTCACCTGGAAGTCCAAAGGGCCAAATACAGTCCAGATACACTTGAGGAAAAGAAAACGAGGTGAAGTTCATATTCTACTGGATACTGACAAAGACTCTCCTAGACCAAACCCAGGTCGGGCTTCCCAGAGCCTTCTCTTCTACTAGACCCTGACCTTGGGCTTCCTTTTCTGTCTTGTAGAATCCAGTTTAAGCAAGAATCCTACTAGATTTTGTAAAAATTCTCCACCCTTGGTATTTGTCCTTACCCCCATCTCTTGATATCTTATCATCCTGGCCTGCCTTCAGCAAGAATTCTGTTGAATCAGTTTAGCAAGAATCCCCCCGGTCTCTGATGTTTCCTCTTAGTTCCTCTTCCAACCACTGACCTCACTCTGCTCCTTGACTATAAATCCCAAGGACTCTAACTTGTCCTTGTAGAAGTTAGTCAAGCCCAGTCTCCCTCCCCAACATAGCAAGACCCCATCTCAGCAGTCCCTCTATCTATCACAATGTTCCCCTCCTTGAATAAAGTCTTCTCTGCCATTTTTAACAAATGTTACAGATAATTTTTTCTTATAGAACTATAAGTAAGACAGTGTAGCATTGGCACAAGTGTAGGAAAACAGACCAGTGGCATAGAACAGACAGATCCATAAGCAGACTCACACATACACAGATACCTAAGTTTTAAAAGACCTAACACTACAGTGGATTAGAAAAAAAGTTGTCTTCCCCCAATAAATGTGGCTGAGTTGATTGGATATCCACGTGCAAAGAAAGGAAACACGCCCTCCCAAATTCACAGCATTCATATAACTCAATCCCAGGTGCATTATGTAGATGTAAATGTAAAAGACAATTGATACAACTTTTAGAAGTTAACATAAGAGAAAATCTTCATGACTTCTGGGTAAACAACATTGTCAAACAAGACACAAGTGCCAACCATGAAGAAAAAGAGTGATAAATGAGACTGTATAAAAATTAAGAAATTCTTTTCATCAAAAGATTCTGTTTTGAGACTAAAAAGGCAAGTCACAAAATGGAAGAAGATATTTATTTGCAACACGCAAAATTAATGAAGGGTTCATAGCCAGAAGCTGCAAAGAACTCCTACAAAGCCATAAGAAATAGACAACACAGTTGAAAACTGGGCAAGAGACTTACATAAGCACGTTCTAAAAGAAAATAAGCATATGAAAAGATTGTTAGTAACAGGTAATCAGGGAAATGCAAATTAAACCCACAATGTGATACTACCGTGACCGTGCCAGAATGGCTAAAATTAAAGAGACTGACACTTCTAAGTTTGGAGGGTATACAAAGCAACGGGAACTCTCATACACGGCATTACACCTACAACGATTTCACCACTTGGTGTGTTCCCAACAAAAATACATGTGCAAGGCACCAAAGGACAGGTACAATAATGTTCACAGCAGCATTATATATGATAATTAAAACAACAGGATGGATAAATATAGTAGGGAACATTTATAATAAAATGAATCAAAGAAAATGAACAAACTTCAGCTTCGTGAAATCTCACAAAAGTAACTATGAGCAAAGGAAGCCCAAAACACAAAATACATACACTGTAATTTCATCTACATGAAGTTAAATAACGAGCACAACTAATTTATATCATTTGGGGTGACATACTTAGGTGGTAAAAGTATAAGGAAAAGTGAGGAATTGATTACCATAAAAGTTAACATAATTTCTACCTTTGGTGGGAAATACAGGGCTATGATTGTCAGGGGACATGGCATTATGGGGCTGGCAGTGCCCTGGTTCTTTTACCTGAATGATGGTTACAAAGTGTTTAATCCAATGGGATGTACATTTATATTTTTATGTACATTTTGGTATATTTATTATACCTCTAAATAAAAGAGTTTTTAAATGAAGGAAACTCATAAATCAAAAAGGTAGAAGAGTATCCATGCCAAACTGCACGAGATCACAGGCTTGGAGTAAGACATACCTGTGATCCAATCCTACCTCTGCCACTTACTAACTGTATGATCTTGAATGAGTTATTTAAACTCTCAAAGCCTCAGTTTCCACATCTATTAAATGAGGGTGATAATATCTATTTCTCAGGGTTATAGAGGGAATTAAGATCCTATATATAAAGCATCTAGCAGAACATCTGGCATACTGAAGCCTCAAGAAATGGTAGCATTGCAAATTGTATATCTGACAATGGATTACTGTCCAGAATATGTAAAGAATGCCTACAATTCAATAACAGCAAAACAGCCTGATTAAAACATCAACAAAGAACTTGAACAGACATTTCTCCAAAAACAAGATAAACAGATGGCCAATACACACATAAGAAAGATTCTCAACATCATTAATCATTAGGGAGATGCACATCAAAACCACAATAAGGTAACCCTAAGAGCGCTATCATAAAAAATCAGAAAATAAGAAATGTTGGTCATGAGGTAGAGCATCTGAAACTCTTGTACATTGCTGGTGGAAATGTAAAACGGTGCAGTTTCTATGGAAAACAGTATGGCGGTTCCTCAAAAAATTAAAAACAGAATTACCATAGGATCCACAAATTCCACTTCCAGAAGTGGAATTTCAAAAGAACTGAAAGCAGGCCCTCAAACAGATATTTGTATACTATTCATAGCAGCGTCATTCACATTACTCCAAAAGGAGAAGCAGCTCAAGTATCCATCGGTAAATGAATGGAGAAAAATATGTGGTAGATCCATGCAATGGAATATTACTCAGCCATCAAAAGGAAGGAAGCTCTGACACATGCCAAAACATGGATGAACCTTGAAGACATCATGCTTAGTGAAACAAGCCAGACACTAGTGTGAGTCCATTTATGCGAGATACCTAGTGTAGTCAAGTTCACAGAGGCAGGCAGTAGTACTGTGGTTGCCAGGGGTGTGGGCAGGGGGGAACAGGGCACCACTGTTGAACAGATCCCGAGTTTCTGTTTGAGAAGACAAAAATCATCTGGTGATCAGTGGTGGTGATGGGTGCACAACATTGTGAAGAAGCCTCATGCCACTAAGCTGTATGCTGAAAAATGGTTAAAACGGTAAATTTTATGTTACATACACTTTACCACAATTTAAAAAATACTTTGAAAATATTAATAATAGGCCAGGTGCCATGGCTCATGCCTATAATTTCAGCACTTTGGGAGGCCAAGGCAGGTGGATCAACTGAGCTCAGGAGTTTGAGACCAGCCTGGGTAACATAGTGAGACCCGTCTCTACAAAAAAGTATAAAAATTAGTCAGGCATCGTAGCACATGCCTGTAGTCTCAGCTACTTGCAGGGCTGAGGTGGGAGGAGCCCTTGAACCCAGAAGGTTGAGGCTGCAGTGAGCCATGTTCATGCCACTGTATCCACTCTGGGTGACAAACTGAGACCCTGTCTCAAAAAAAAAAAAAAAAAAGAAAAGAAAGAAAAGAAATAGTAGCAACTGCTATTGTAAGATACCTCCACAAACCAGAGAAGTTAATTTTAACATGTTAAGAACAGAGAGAAGCCGACATGAGGTTTATTTGTGTCGTTGTTGGTAGCTGGGTTTGTTATTTTTAAATTATCTTTTCCAATACTTTATTAACAATTTCCCTAAGTTATTTCATCTTTCAACATAAATACACACAAGGACTTCTTCTGGTTAAGACCAAACTAATATTAGTCCATAGTAGGAGATAATACTATTATATTTACTAAGTATTCTATTTGCAATTTGACTATAGCCCATAACCTTTTGTTAGCTAAAGTGAGCTTAATGCTGATCAGGTAAAGATTATAGTTGATTAAAAGGGCATTAATATTACCTAAGTCATTTCAATTAGGTCTGTTATCATAAGTTCTTGACATATGTAATTAGGAAAGTTAAGCTACGGGTCTCCCTTTGATGATCTGTAAGCTGCAATTCTGATTAAACTGCAATTCCAATCCAGGAGTTGCAACTAGTAGTTGTTTCTCTCATGGACCAAAAAATCAGAATTTTCCCTGGAAGTTTATCAGAAATGCTTTCAAGTTTCAAAACACTTGCCTGCAGTATCCTATAGTGGCCTTGAAAATGATCTGTCCAAATACCCAGTTTAACCCATGGTTTAAGCCATAAAGAAAGTTGACTTCATTTATTTGTCTTTTTTCCTTCCTAAATGGCAGTTTGATTTGTAACGCATGGCAATGGAATGAAAACCTTATATTCAAGGTTAGCTTTAACATGCATTCAATATCTCAAATGCCATTACAGATTTTACTTACTCAAAACACCAAAAAGTCATCACCATGACCCTTCTAAAATCTACTAATGGCTTCCATGAAAGGCACTAAATATTTGTAATTAGCCAAAATGAGATCATGTATGTCAAAATACAGGCCCTGATTCACAGAAAATGCTTAATAAATGGTAATAATATATGATATATATATCATAATAGCACAAGTTGAATGCGCAGGGTCCATGTAAGCTAAATTTATTATCCCATTTTAGCTGAACAGATTTTAGAACATTCAGTGATTCCATTCCATTTTGTAAATTACTGAGCTGTACCAATTCAAAATTTCTTCTGAAACTCAATTCCCAGGCATTTGGCTTTTGTTCCTGGGATTTCCACTGCTTTAGAGAATCCAGCTTTAATAGGCTCCTTTCTGAGAAATTCTCCATCGGTTCTGAGAAGTACTTCTATTGAATGCTTCATTTAATTTCATTTTGCAATTAATGAAACGTTCAAGACATATTTCCCCTATTTTGAAAAATTTCTAGTTACTTTTTTCTTGCCTTTTGGTTAATTAGAAGCAGCAAACTACTTCCACTAAGAACTAAAGGCAATAAGTACAGCAACAAAAATACCAAATGTCAAAACAAATGTCATTTCAGAGTTCTGAAAAGCCCATCTCTCAGAATTAAAAACATTTCATGTCACCTCTATGGGTCTTCAGTTGCTAGCTCTCAAATGGATTCACTTTCTGATTTCAGTAACATTCAACCAGTAGTAAAGCTTTTAGAGTTTTTCATCTTCCTTGACAAAAATACTTAACCTTTTCCAGCCTGGGAGGCGGAATCTTTTCCTGCCCGTGAAACTCTACCAATTTGGTAATAAAACAAACCACTAATTTAGTTGTTTATTATTCTTAGCCTAAAGATGTTTGCATGGCT